AGTATTGATACATGTAATATCCCGTAGACCCACTATATGTGCGGCGCAACGTCTACATCATAACTGTCTATGACGCTAGACGAGGGACAATAGACAAAGGACAAGTTTCTATGACGATTGAATGATTTGAGCGTCAAGACGGATTTGACGTGGGGGAGAAGCTCTGGATATATATATTCCAAGAGAGGGACGGGGCATCAAGGTTCACCAAACAACGAGCAATCAAAACATCACTTTCGATTGACGTGACCAATATTACATCAGACGATCGCCACACACACACACACACACACACACACACACACAAGCACTATGACGGACATCACGGTTCCCAAGCAGATGGAGGCGGCGGTAGTCAAAGACTTCAACCAGGGCTACGAGGTGCGCAAGATTGACGTGCCGTCGGACCTGGGCCCGAACGACATTCTGGTCAAGATCGGAGCAGCAGGATACTGCCACACAGACCTGCAGGTGCTCGAGGGCGTGTATGAGTCGGCGGGCGCGAAGCCGGGGCTGGTGGGATCGCACGAGCCGGCGGGGACGGTGGTCAAGGTGGGCAACAACGCGAACAGGAACGGGATCAGGACCGGGGATCGCGTCGGGTCGATCAACACGTACCAGTTCTGCGGGGAGTGCGAGGCGTGCCGGAAGCAGGGAGAGCAGCTGTGCGAGAGGATGGCGGGCATGCTGGGCCTGACCGTCAACGGCGGCTTCTCCGAGTACATGAAGGCGGACTCGCGGGTGGTGTCCAAGATACCCGAGTCCATCTCGTTCGCCGAGGCGGCCCCGCTGTTCTGTGCCGGCGCCACCGTGTACGGCGCGCTGCTGCGCGCCGACCCCGAGCCCGGCCAGTGGCTGGCCATCGTCGGGGTCGGTGGCCTAGGTCACCTGGGCATCCAGTACGCCAAGGCCATGGGACTCAAGGTCGTCGCCATCGATAACCGCAGGGAGGGCATCGACACGGCCCTAGAGGGCATCCCGTCGCACCTGCGCCCGGACAGGACCTACGTCGTCGACTCCGAAGAGGCGCAGCAGCGCTGCATCGACGACCTCTCCTCCCCCGACAAGGGGTCCCCCTACAAGTCCAACCCGGGTATCGACCGCGTCGTCATCGCCACCGAAGCGAGGCACCTCGTCAGCTTCTCCCAGCAGTTCCTCCGCAAGGGCGGCGTCATCGTCGACATCGGTCTCCCCGCCGATGGCCCGCTCGAGGTCGACTCGTTTGCCCTCAACTTCAAGGAGCACTCGATACGTGGACGTCTCATCTGCACGCCCCAGCAGTGCCAGGACATGATCAACCTTCATGCCGAGCACGGGTGCAAGACGTATATCGAGAAGACGTACCCCGTCAGCGGCATCAACGACATGTTTGAGCGGTACAAGTCCAAGGATCTTCGTGGTCGGCTGTGTATGGTGTTTTAGTTGGCTTGATCATCCGCCTGCCTGGACGGGATTTTAGAAGTTCTGGGTGTGTGCTGGACTATACACTATACTTGTGCTTTATCAGTATCGCCAGCTTATGAATATGTATCTGTTGCGAGAGAGAGAGAGAGAGAAGCTACGATGCTTTCCATGGTCTGGCAGGCAGAGTTCCGAACCAGTCTTGATGGTGACGTCATAGTATGTATTCCTTTGTGTATTAGTTGGGTCGGTGACAACCAGCGAATACCCGCTGTTGTATGTACGTTTTTTTTTTCCGAATTTTTTGGTTATCCGCTACTTTCAGATGGTATGCAATATAGATTGAATAATCACTACTTTCCATCACATACGACCATAGCCAGTGGAAAATACGGGGTCCCGTCCGCTCCCCCAGAGTCAAGCCGCTRAGCGGTGGATTAGTAGTTGGGTCGGTGACGACCAGCGAATACCCGCTGTTGTATGTCTCTTTTTTTTTTGTGTCTTTTTATCTCCCACTGCTACTGGACGTTCTATATCGCCTGCATCATCACCACCTTCCTCCACATACGACCACAGCTGGTGGAGAATACGGTGTCCTGTCAAAGCTCTTTGACAACCTGTTTGATGTCTACCTCTTTTCGACGGCATTTGCCTCCAAAAATGGCGGCCGAGCCGCCATTATCAGCGGGAATCAAACCCCCGCCATTCCCCCGCCTCTTACCGTTCTGACCTGGCTGTAAGACGGGTCACCCCTCTCAGCTGAAGCCTGGGTGGCGTTGATATCAAGGCCAAAAGGCCATGTCTGAATCAACTCCAGTCAGCGATATTGAATCGTGTAGGCACTGGGCCCTAGCCGTCACACACGTGACAGTAGCTCGGGGTCAGTCACTGACGATAAGCATTCACGATAATTTTGCTCCCGTAAGATTCTCGCAACAACACAGATCCTAGGAACGTGGATACATGTGACCTCGACGTATCCTGCCAGCTGATTGGGGAAAAGACAACGGATGACCTGGCTTTCCATCATGGATCGCGACGATATGCCCACTGTCGGCGACGACCAGGAGTGCGCAAGCACTATAGACAACGGCGAGGGTTTCGAAATGGTCTGCGGCCAGAATCCCATTGAGAGTATAGACGAATTCCACCCACTGAATGAAGACTGCGTCGCGCCTCACTCAATTCCAATACGATCCCGTTACCTACCTTCCACTGAACTCTCGAGTGCTTCGCCAAGCCCTTCTACTCCAAAATACGAAGAGTTTGCCGAGAACTCTTTCTTGCCTCCACCTCCCAGTTCCTCGTGCCCATCATCAGCCATGTCGACAAGGGCGCTCGTCAGTACCTACACGTGTAGGTTTGGCATCCTCCCTAGACACGACATCATCTACCACGAAGGCAACCCGCTCCGCGGCTTTCCATCCCACCGGGGGCGCATAACCCCGTGGCTAGGACTAGGCAGGGGAGAACGACGCCTGAACGGTCTGTAGAATCTATCCTAGATAACGCCGGTTTCGCCAACATTATGGATGGTGCCCGAGAGAGCGATGTCAAGAGCATGGTCTCTAGACACTTCATCCCCGAAAGCATCGAGACGAACCAAGATCTTATCACGAAAAAAAAGCCGTGCCCAGCTATCTAGGGCCTACATACCATGCAAGGACGGAGCACCTAGGCTTAGCATCCCAATCCCTGGCATGATGTCTGGCTATTCCGGCAGAAGCGGCGCACTCTCGTCTCACCAGACGACGTTTCTGTGCAGCCAGCCTGCTGGGTCTAACGGACTGGCCTCTAGTGGCCTCTTCTTCCCGTTTTTTATCGTCGAATGTAAGGCGAACACTACGGAAGGCTCCGGAAGCGATATGTATAGCGCCACGAACCAGTGTCTCGGGGGAGCAGCAACGTGCTGCCGGATCATGAGCCGACTTGATCAGCAAGTGAACGGTGCCAGGCGGTCCACGCGAAGCATCCCCGAGGTGGAGAGCATCGTCTGGTCCCTTGCAATCGATAACGCGAGGGCGTGCCTCCACTTATCGTGGATGGAAGGCCAGCAATGTCACACCCGGTCTGTGGACAGCTTCTTGCTACACACCCCAGAAGATTACCGGCGTCTGCGAAGGTCGATCCGGAACATCTGCGATTGGGGAAGAGGCCCTAGGCTTAGAGCCATTCGGGCATGTGTCGACTATCTCCGCTGATAGAGAACACAGCCTGTCGCGGTGGCCGACATGCCGGTCGGGGATCGCGAGGAGAGCTCTTCCTATGCTAGCACTGGAAGGAAGACGGGAAGCAAGACAGCAAGGAGGAGAGACGTATTACAAGTCACGATTCGGAAAAAAAAAAAGAAAAAAGAAGAAGAAGAAGAAGAAGAGGGGGAGGAAGAGGCAGGAACGAGAGGCCGCGGCCTCTATGGACTGAGTATAGCTCTAGCCGGTAAATTGAAACGCGTCCATCGTGTGTGCCGTCTCGTGAAGTGGCTCTTTTTTTCTCTCTTTTTTTTTGCTGGTTTTGACTGTCTAAACAGCGGCAGCTCCGGTGGTCGTACATCTGGCGCCTTTCGGGGGCATTTTGACGTCTCCGTTGCTGTCCACTGAACGATGGTGGGGTTTGATGGGGCCAGGAGACCCGGGACCCTGACGTGAGCCGCAACGGGTCCTGGAGCCAGCCACAGAACAATTAACTCTTGTGAAGCTTGACCTGTCTCCCCGCCCACCTACCCACCCCACCCAGTCTCCTCCCCACCACACCATCACATCACCACGCCTCTCTCGCCCACACAGTACGCGGAACAGAGATGGAGCCCACTACCCCACCATCAGAGCCGCTCCCCCTCGCAGCCGAACGAGCAGCTCGGGGTTGCATCCGTGATATCACATCGCCAACTACTTTTGAGAGATAACCAGGGAGAGAACTGGCCCTTGACATGCTCCGCACTCTCAACGCCCCCCACCCCCCACCAGTCCGCCCTGTGCTTTATATACTGCTCAACTGTCGGCCTGAGCACGGTCTCGGCTAGCCTGAAGTCATCCGTCGTGCCGAGCCTCAGCACACTCACCCCCCGGGTAGCCATCGGCCCTGCGGTACGTGAGAGACCGGCAAGCTTGGCAGAAGGAGTGGGACACGGCGGTGCCCTCTCTCTCGATGGTCTCCGACTGGCTAGACCGCGCCAGGTTAAACGATCAAGGCAGAGAGGCAGCAGAAGCAGCGGTGCCGATCACGACGATGGCAACAGCAGCAAGAAGGGCACTAGAAGCGAAAGGCACGATGCCTCTGTCGTATAACAGGAAAGGGCAACAGGAAAAAAGAGAAGAAGAGAAAAAAAGGAAGGCGTGGAAGACATACAACAGCGGGTATTCGCTGGTCGTCACCGACCCAACTACTAATCCACCGCTCAGCGGCTTGACTCTGGGGGAGCGGACGGGACCCCGTATTCTCCGCTGGCTATGGTCGTATGTGAGAGGCATGGGCGGTGTTTTTGATTATGCCATGTTTCCAGCACACACTCCTCCCCGAGCCCTTGAAAGGCTTCATGACCGGTATCGCCTGAACCGGGGGCTCTTCTTGGATGCCTCTTGATGCCGTATCTAGCAGACAAGATGTCCCGCAGGAGAGCCGTTGTCGTCGTCACAGTCATACTCAACACCGGTGCGGTTATGCAGACCGCCGCGGATCCATACGCGGCATTGGTAGCTGGGAGGACAGTCGGAGGCATCGGTGTCGGGACACTGGCCACAGTACGAAACTCCCTTCCGAACTTCACGCGGGTGATTTTTCTTCTTCTTCTTTCTTCTGGCTCCTCTCTACATTAGGGCGCGCCCATCTACATTTCCGAAATCGCACCATCCGATGTTCGCGGAACGCTTCTGGTTCTGGAGTCGGTTTCCATCGTAACGGGCATCGCTGTCTCCTTCTCCATCGCCTTCGCAGCCCGCAACATTCAGACCGAAGTCTCTCGTCATGTCTGGAATCTTTAACGCTTCACAGCTCGTTGCCGCGGCGATCCGTCTCGTCGTGCCCGTCGGCTATCTGTGGCGCACTCGGCGGTGGGATCGCCTGGGCTATGATGGCTGTCATTGCTGGTCTATACTCCCACGACTGGCCTGGACATCCTGACGCCGGCTGGGGAGCTGTAGCTATGGCCTCTATGCCTGTCATCGTCTACGGCGTCTCTTACTCTCCGCTCGGACGGGCTCTTCCGGCCGAGGTGTGTACGAACTCTTCCCGCTCTCGAGGTGTGGCGCTGGCAACCGGTCTTGTCTGGCTCCATGCCATACTTTTGGCGGTCTTCTAGGGTGACCTGAGAAGTAGGGATGTCGTTGCGTGTCGGATCCGACAAGGACGGTGTCGGACCTGACGAAGGGAAGATGGGATCCGACACTACCAGAGACTTCTCTCTCGAGTAGTAGTAGTAGTAGTAGTCTCGAGTAGTAGTAGTAGTAGTAGTAGTAGTAGTAGTAGTAGTAGTAGTAGTAGTAGTAGTAGTAGTAGTAGTAGTAGTAGTAGTAGTAGTTACAGTTGTAGAAATCAGCCATCAAAGGGTCGGATGATAAGGAGACATCGGTGAGGATACATCATCATCACGCTCACGTACGTTCAAGGTAGGTGAGGTGTTGTCTGGTGTCAAGCCCTTGTTCTTTATTCCTGCAATTGTGGCGCCGGACTCGACGGTTTCATGGCCGAGTCCCGCTTACCTAATCCAGAAGCAGATTCTCCATGACATGATGCCTCATCTGAATACTACAGGACGAGGGTCTCACCTCGATACCGGCATCAGGTAACGGCAGGTGCGCGCAGGCAGGTAGATACCTCTCTGCGGTGAATGAGGGGAATGGGGGAGGAAAGGATAGACCTCGTCCATGAAAGCCCTCAGGGCATCCGGTGAGGGAAAGGGAAGGAGAGCGGTACATGTGACGCCTGCGGACTGCAATCGGCAATCATCTGCGGGTTTGGGTGTCTGGACGGATGCGATGTGTGTGTCGTGATCATGGTGCGGACAAGGTGGCAGGTATCATTACCTCGTCTGATACGGTTGAACCGCCCAGTCCCAGGAGTTGTGCCGTTGCAAGTTTCAGATCAGGATCCCGAAACACGTTGGGAGATTTTTTTTTTTTTTCTGCAAAAGAAAAATACATTCAAAGAGAAAAAAAAAGAATTCAAGATTAAAAATTGGAAACAAACCGCCGGGGAATACGAGCATCACTTGCTATCACGTATGTGTTGAGTGATGCGTACATCGTAGCAATGGATAACACCAATACATGTACGTAGGCCGCGTACACGTACGGAGTATAATACAAGCAACCCCCGATATTCCGACAGCCATTGGAAGAATCAAAAACATCGGCGTCGTCGTCGGGTGGAGACGGTTTGCGACGAGCAACAGACCAGGGGGTGTTTCCATCCCCTGCCCTCCTCCACCTTATCGGTCGTCTCTGCCTCTTCTCTCTTTCGCTCTGATTCAAACATTCATCTTATCTCCTCAAGATAACTTCCCTTTCCCCAACTTTCCTTCTGGCCTGAGAGGGCGAGGGAGGAGGGAGAGAGGAGCATCAGTTGATGGGTTTCTGTACTCCGTAGTCAAGGCCAAGTATAGTTTCTCTCGACAACAGCAGAGTATCTCCACAACGCGTTCGCATTTCCGTGACTCATCAGACACAGAGCATCAGGCGAGATAGAACATGTCCTGGTGCCTCCCCGCGCTTGCCGTCCGATGCACGATAGACACTCGTCCTTCTTCTCTGCGAAAGCCGGTAGAAGAGATCGGAGAGGATGCCGAGACTGGGTTGGAGCCGACCGAGTGCGTGACAGCCATGTGCCGAACTGCGTCGAGGCCGCGTGGCCCTCGGGGGAGGAGAGTAGTCGTGATTCTGGATCGAGACCATCATCTGTTGATTCAGTATTGCACACCCCCCCCTCCGTGTCTCGGCGACGGCAAACTACCTGCGTACCATACGATGAGTTAGTATTGACTAGCATATCAAGCATATCAACATGTAATATATAATATGTGCGTGCGGCATGCGCCTCATATACAGCTTCCAAGCCCATCGCAATCATCCCTATCGTATATCGATATTCGTGATAATGCTACGGCACTGCTTCGATCTATCCGCTCAGGTATGCGAGCAGCGTTTCGGACACGAGAGGAAGCTCTGATCTGATGCTTATCATCACTCTGCTTCATCGTAAACAAGATTGAGCCGCCGCGGGAATAATCGTGACAAGATGCTGTACAGTGTGTACACATACACATCCGAGGATGAAAATTCTGCAAAAAAAACCCTACGGATGTCTCGTACATGTACGGAGTGATGTGGTATTGGTGGTATTATTTAAGAGAAAACAAAAAAAGAAAACGAAAAAAAAAAAGTCAAACAGACTACGAGACAACTCTCTCATCACAACCCCGGTTTCGCCGAGTAAGATGGATACATCTATCCAATCCCCCCCC